GGGCTGGAGAGATGGCTCAGCAGTTAAGAGCACTACTTGTTCTTCCAGAGGTCCTGAGTTCAATTCCCAGCAACCACATGGTGGCTCACAACCATCCGTAATGAGATCTGGTGCCCTCTTCTGGTCTGCAGATAGAGCACTGTATACATAATAAATAAATAAATCTCTAAAAAAAAAAAAAAAGAAAAGAAAAAAGAAAAACAAACAAAAAAATCTAAAGACTTAGAAACCTCTTTCTGTTCCCCTCTAGGCTCCCAATGTGGCTCGAGAGCTGAGTGGGGGCTGCCATGGCTTCTCCCACAAGTTCATGCATTGGCAAGAGGAACTGCTGCTGGGAGGCACAGCCAGAGATCTCCAAGGACAGCTGCTGAGGTCGGGCCTCCCCTGGGACTTGGTGAGGGGACCTGGGAATCCACACTGTAGTCTAGGCAGCTCTGGAGAAAGCACCCCACAAACCCACACTGACTACTGAGGCCAGCTCTGACTCCTGTACCCCCAACCAGGGCAGAAGCCTTGCAGAGCACCTTCCTGCTGATGAGTCCCCGCCAGCTGTATGAGCACTTCCGGGGCGACTACCAGACCCACGACATCGGCTGGAGTGAGGAGCAGGCCAGCACAGTGCTGCAGACCTGGCAGAGGCGCTTTGTGCAGGTCAGTGTGGGTAGAGAGGAAGAAGAGTTCTCTCTGAGGCCGTGCCTTCCTCCTGTCCGCGCACACTCACCCTGTCTCTGCAGCTAGCCCAGGAGGCTCTGCCTGCCAATGCATCCCAGCAGATCCATGCCTTCTCCTCCACCAGCCTGGACGATATCCTGCTCGAGTTCTCTGAAGTCAGTGCCCCCCGTGTGGTGGGAGGCTATCTGCTCATGGTGGGTCCTGCATCTAGCAACCTTGCCTCCCCTCCCGCGGGTTTCCACCCTGGAAATCCCTGCCTGAGATTGTGTCCTGTCCCCACAGCTGGCCTATGCCTGTGTGACCATGCTACGGTGGGACTGTGCCCAGTCCCAGGGCGCCGTAGGTCTCGCCGGAGTGTTGCTGGTGGCCCTGGCAGTGGCCTCAGGCCTTGGGCTTTGTGCCCTGCTTGGCATCACTTTCAATGCTGCTACTACTCAGGTAGACCAGGACCGGGGGTCAGCCTTCGGGGGGGGGGGCATCTCCAGGCTACCTGGTTCCTCCAGATGATTGATTTCCCCCCTCTGCCCCTCCAGGTCCTGCCCTTTTTGGCTCTGGGCATCGGCGTGGATGACATATTCCTGCTGGCTCATGCCTTCACAAAGGCCCCACCTGACACCCCTCTCCCAGTAAGGACACATCCAGCAGCCTGGGTCCATCTGAAGTTATCAAAGTGGCTAAGAGCCTCTTGGTTTGAGTAATCTTGTCTGATTGGCTCATTAACCTTCTTGTGCGTTCATCTCCCATATAGAAATGGGATTAGGGGCTGGAGAGATGGCTCAGAGGTTAAGAACACTGACTTCTTTTCCAGAGGTCCTGAGTTCAATTCCCAGCAACCACATGGTGGATCATAATCATCTGTAATGAGATTTGGTGCCCTCTTCTGGCCTGCAGGGACACATGCAGGCAGAACACTGTACACATAATAAATAAATGGTTTAAGAGAGAGAGAAAGAACGAACTGGGAGTAACAGTAGCAGTGTTTATGCCCTGAGGGTTGGCACAGAATGAGCCATGTCATTCCAGACTTAGAACAGCACATGCCCATTCCCAGTACCTGACAACTGTGGACTGCTGTGGCATCAGAATTCCATTTCTGCCAAGTTTCTGAGCCTCCCCTACTGTCTTGAAGTCCCACAGCCCTCCCTGTGACCTGAGAGTGTGTCCCTGCTCTGTCCTGGCAGGAGCGCACGGGTGAATGCTTGAGGCGCACGGGCACCAGTGTCGCACTCACGTCCATCAACAACATGGTCGCTTTCTTCATGGCTGTCCTGGTCCCCATTCCTGCACTGCGGGCATTCTCCCTCCAGGTGAGGCCTCATGGATGGGCAGGTGGGGTAGGGTGGACATGGAGCACCGAGCATGCCTCATCCGGCCGTCATCCCTTCCTGTCTCCCCAGGCAGCCATAGTGGTGGGCTGCAACTTTGCGGCCGTGATGCTTGTCTTCCCAGCCATCCTCAGCCTCGACCTGCGCCGACGCCACCGCCAGCGCCTGGATGTTCTCTGCTGCTTCTCTAGGTGCTGGCCCCGTGTGCCCACCCTTTTCCCTCCTCAGCCTCATCCTAGACCGTCCCCTCCCCTGGGCCTCAACGTGTGACTCATCTGCTCCTCCCTGACTCTTCCAGCCCCTGCTCGGCTCAGGTCATTCAGATCCTGCCCCAGGAGCTGGGGGACGGAACAGTACCAGTGGGCGTCGCCCACCTGACGGCCACGGTGCAAGCTTTTACCCACTGCGAAGCCAGCGGCCAGCACGTCGTTACCATCTTGCCTCCTCAAACCCACCTGATGGCCCCACCTTCCGACCCACTGGGCCCTGAGCTCTACAGCCCTGGAGGGTCCACACGGGACCTTCTAGGCCAGGAGGAGGGGACAAGGCCGAAGGCAGCCTGCAAGTCCCTGCTCTGTGCCCACTGGACTCTTGCCCATTTTGCCCGCTATCGGCTCGCACCCTTACTGCTCCAGACACAAGCCAAGGTTAGTCCAGATGCGGCAGAACGGCGACTCGGCATGTCTGGCTCCAAGGAGGGCGGAGGGCTGGAGGGCAGCCCTGGGCCTCCTGCTTAGTCCCGGCTTCCCTGCAGGCCCTGGTGCTGGCGTTCTTTGGGGCACTTTTGGGCCTGAGCCTCTATGGAGCCACGTTGGTACAAGACGGGCTGGCCCTGACAGATGTGGTACCTCGGGGCACCAAGGAGCATGCCTTCCTGAGCGCGCAGCTCAGGTACTTCTCCCTGTACGAGGTGGCCTTGGTGACACAGGGTGGCTTTGACTACGCCCACTCCCAACGCGCCCTCTTGGACCTGCACCAGCGCTTCAGCTCCCTCAAGGCCGTGTTGCCGCCACCCGCCACCCAGGCGCCCCGCACCTGGCTGCACTACTACCGCAGCTGGCTACAAGGTGAGAGGCCAAGAGACCTGCACCTAGGGATGCTGCAGAGCCAAGTCTTCAGAGCCGTAGGCCCATCCCGGCCCATCCTGTGTACCTCCAGGTATCCAGGCGGCCTTTGACCAGGACTGGGCTGCCGGACGCATTACCCGCCACTCTTACCGCAACGGCTCTGAAGATGGCGCCCTGGCTTACAAACTGCTCATCCAAACCGGGAATGCCCAGGAGCCTCTGGATTTCAACCAGGTGAGGAGTGGGCTGACCGGTCAGAGCACTGGGGGGCTCCAGACCGCACGGCCCAGGCCTCGAGCCTTCTCTGCCTTCACAGCTGACCACGAGGAAACTGGTGGACAAGGAGGGACTGATTCCGCCAGAACTCTTCTACGTGGGGCTGACTGTGTGGGTGAGCAGTGACCCCCTGGGCCTAGCAGCCTCTCAGGCCAACTTCTACCCCCCACCTCCCGAATGGCTGCACGACAAATACGATGTCACCGGGGAGAACCTTCGCAGTGAGTGCTGGGGGAGCTCACCCGGAACCTGGTCCCCGGGCACGCGGACCCCGACCTTCCACCTCCCCCGCACCGGTCCCTCACCCGCCCTCCGTTCCTCTGTCCTCTCCACAGTCCCAGCAGCCCAGCCTCTGGAGTTTGCCCAGTTCCCCTTTCTGTTGCATGGACTCCAGAAGACTGCAGACTTCGTAGAGGCCATCGAAGGGGCCCGGGCGGCATGCACAGAGGCAGGCCAGGCAGGAGTGCATGCCTACCCCAGTGGCTCCCCGTTCCTCTTCTGGGAGCAGTATCTGGGGCTGCGGCGCTGCTTCCTGATGGCGGTCTGCATCTTGCTGGTGTGCACCTTCCTGGTCTGTGCTCTGCTGTTACTCAATCCGTGGACAGCCGGCCTCATAGTGAGTATTTGCAGAGTGGAGAGGGAGAGAGACCCCAGTGGCACCCACCCTGCCCTGTCCAGCCCAGCACTCCTCCTGCCGGGAGCCCTGGGTAAGGCCTGCCCTCCACAGGTGCTGGTCCTGGCGATGATGACTGTGGAGCTCTTTGGTATCATGGGATTCCTGGGCATCAAGCTGAGTGCCATCCCTGTGGTGATCCTTGTGGCCTCTGTAGGCATTGGTGTTGAATTTACAGTTCACGTGGCTCTGGTAAGCATAGGCCCTGGGAGGAAAGGTCAGCCGATCAGTATTTAACAAAAATGGTGAGATCACCTCTGCGTACTAAGAACTATCTAAACAGTTAAACTGGGCATAGAAGTTGCACACATTTATTATTATTTTTTAACCAGGCGGTGGTGGCACATGCCTATAATCCCAGCTCTTGGGAGGCAGAGGCAGGCAGGCAAATCTCCATGAGTTCTAGGCCATCCTGGTCTACAAAGCGAGTTCCAGGACAGCCATGGCAGGTACACAGAGAAACCCTGTCTTGAGAAACTAAAATAAATAAATAAATAAATAAATAAATAAATAAATAAATAAATAAAAAAATAAATAAATAATGATTTATTTAAATTCATTTTGTGTGTATTGGTGTGAAGGTGTCAGATCCCCTGGAACTAGAGTTATAGACAGTTGTGAGCTGCCAGGTGGGTGTTGGGAATCAAAGCCAGGTCCTCTGGAAGAGCAGTCAGTGCTCTTAACCACTGAGCCATCTCTCCAGCCCTGGTTACACACCTTTTATCATTGTAGCGCTCAGGAGGTAGAGGTGAGCAGATCTCTGTGAATTGGAGGCCAGCCTTATCTATGAATTGGAGGCCAGCGAAGATTGCATAACAAGACCCCGCCTAACAATGAGAACAACAAGAATTGGCAGGGCCGGAGGCAGGCACAGTGCCTCGGACTTGTCCTTCCGTCTTGTTCCGGTAGACAGAGGCAGCGGGCACGCCTTCAATCCCAGCACTAGGGAGGCAGAGGCAGGCCTCGAGTTCTCTTTTTGGTTGTTGTTGGTTTTGAGACAAAGTTTTATTATGCAATAATAAACTTCGGCTGTCCTGGAGCTAGCTCTGTAGGCCAGGCTAGCCTCAAACTCTGTAGCTGAGAATGACTTTGAACTCCTAATCCTCCTGCATGCAGTTATACAGATGTGCGAAACCACGCGGGGCCCAGTTCTTTCATCAAGTGTTGACTGCTGTACTACTTACAACCTTTTCTTTTCTTTTTTATATACATGAGTGTTTTGCCCACATGTATATGTGTACCATGTGCATGCCTGGTGCCCACAGAGATCAGAAAAGGGTGTTGGATCCCCGGGTGTAACTGGAGTAACAGATGGTTGTGAGCCGCCATGTGGGTGCTGGGAATGGAACCCGGGTCCTCTGCAAGAACAGCAATGCTGTCAATCATTGAGCTGCTCTCCAGCCTTAATAATGACATCTTAATTAGTCCAGATGGCCAGTAAATACATAAGCAAATGAGGGCCACATCTGTAGTGAGAAAAACCAAAGGCCTGTTTGAAATGATGTACAGGCAGAATGGAAGGAGGGAGGATAAGAAGCATTATTTCCCCTGAGGCAGTCTCATGTCATTTAGGCTGACCTCCTACCACCCATATGGCTGGGGATGACCTTCAACTCCTGATCCTCCTGCCTCTGCCTCCTCCGTGTCTGGGTTCAGCACCATGCCTGGCTTCAGATTGCATGGGTAGCGATGTGGGTATGAAGGAGGGATTCTAAACAAATGTGCTAGAGCCAAAGAGGCCCCGGGACTCCCCGAGCTTCGCATTCACGGACAGCTGAAGCACCAGCACACCGAGTCTCCACAACAGCATCCTTCTCCCGACAGCCCCGTAATAATAGATTCCAAGAACAGTCTAGTAGCTGGTGTAATAGCACATGTCTGTAATCCAAGCACTCAGGAGTCAAAAACAGCAGGATCACCACAATTTTAAGGGCAGCCTGGTATACATAATGACCTGAAAGACCTTGTCTAAAACAAATAAACAAATAATCAAATAAAAAAGCAATATATGACTAGGGCATGGTGGGATAGACCTACAATCCCATACTTGGTTGGTGGAAGCAGGAGGAGTTCATCCCCAGCAATGTGACAAGTTCGAGGCCAGCCTGGTTCACACAGTGAGTTCCAGGATAGCCAGCGATACACAGGGAAACCCTGTCTTGAAAAAAAAAAAAAACCTACCCTGAAGGCAAGCATGGCGGCACAAACCTCTGTGTCCAGCACTTGGGACACAGAGGCAGACAGATCTGTCTATATAGCGAGTTCCAGAACAGCCAGGGCTACATAGTGAGACCCTGTCTCAAAAACAAACAAAAAAGCTACCCTGAGAAGTACATCACCATGTTGTCCATCCTCCTGGGCCAGGAGTTGGCACACTTTTTTTATTGCATATTTTTAATTTTGAGGGAGGAGGTCTTCAGAGGACAATTACAGTATCTAGTTCTCTACTTCCAGTTTGTAGGTCCTGGGAATTAAATTTAAATCATCAGACTTGGCCGCAAGCACCCGTATCCACTGGGCCATCTTGCTGGCCCCATGCACACTTTTTTTGTAAAAGGCCAGGTAGTATTCGTTTCAGACTCTGGCAAGTGACATAACCTTACCATCATAGCACGAAAGCTGACTGACTGAACACCATTGGCACCTGCCTGGGCATTGCCGTGCGGCCAGACACCTCTAATGTTACCAAAGTGGACACAACCATGCTTCCAGAACACTCCCCTGAAGTTAGTTCACCTGGCCTTCTGTAGGGGAAGACCTGGGTGCGCCCCGGAATGGATAAATAGCCATGGGGACATTGGATGAGCTGGCTGTGGTTGGCAGAAGAAGAACCCCAGGACTCTCTCCCTAGGGCTTCCTGACCACCCAGGGGAGCCGGAACCTGCGGGCTGCTTGCGCTCTGGAGCAGACTTTTGCCCCTGTGACCGATGGGGCCGTCTCCACGTTGCTGGGTCTGCTCATGCTTGCTGGCTCCAACTTTGACTTCATTATAAGGTACAGGAGGGCTCAGGAGGAGGGGACTACCCACCCTGGCCTCGGGCCTGGCCACTGACCCTTTCCCCCCCTCCCCCCCCCCCACAGGTACTTCTTCGTGGTGCTGACAGTGCTAACCCTCCTGGGCCTGCTCCATGGGCTCCTGCTGCTGCCTGTACTGCTGTCCATCCTGGGCCCCCCACCACAGGTAACCAAACGCTCCCTCTGTCCTTCCCCTAAGGGACAGGGTGGTAAAGCAAGGGAAGGGACAGACCAAATGCCTTCGGCCTTCGGAGGGACCGGCCTTAGCCTTTCAGGACCCAGAGCAGAGGGTCTACCTGGCCTTGCAGTCCCGTATCGTGAGCTCTGACGGGAGCCCGGCCTGTCCACAGTAGTGGGGATCTCCATGAAGGGGCTCACTGGGCCTGGGGTCTCTTCCAGGTGGTACAGATATACAAGGAGAGCCCACAGGTCCTGAGCCCTGCAGCTCCACGGGGAGGCGGGCCCAGGTGGGGCATGCCCCCCACCCTGCCCCAGAGTTTTGCCAGAGTGACTACCTCCATGACTGTGGCCCTCCACCCACCACCACTCCCTGGAGCCTACATCCAGCCAGCCTCCGAGGAGACCACGTAGTCCCCCGCTGCCACCCTGGCTGCTGCCAGCTCTGGCAACCTCAGGACTGGAGGTTAGCCACCGAGGAGGACCGGGTCTAGCCACTGAGTGAAAGAGCATCTGAATCGCAGAGACCTCCCCCCCGTGACGTCACTGGGAAGCAATGGGGGGGGGGAGATGCACGATGGACCCCTGGAAGGCCCTGGGGTGCTCTCTGCACCTCCTCCCCTGACTTGGCCACCCCACACTTACACCCAAGAGAACCGCTACTGCTTGGCTGAGAGCGTCCCAACACATAGGCCTCAGGGGACGTCTGTGTGTCCAGGTTGGGGTGAAAGGCGCATTCTAGCTGCAGTGCAGCCCGGTCTCGTGCCCCACACAGTCACCTCAGCGGACCAAGCCTGGGGGTGCTTAGCACACTCTCCCAGGCCTGGCCCTTCACTGCTTGGTGACTCCGAAGGAGGCCTTCTGTACCTCTTCCCACCTCCTGCCATATAAATTATTTATACGAAGATGTTTATTTTTGTATATAGATGCTATTGCTGCTGAAAGTTTTATTTTTAAAGAGTAAAATATATTCTATACAAACTCCTTTCAAATGACTATGGTGCTTTTTGTTTTTCAGATGACTCATGAAAGTTAGCTATCCGAGGTCACTTGTGTAGCATCAGGGCCTGAAATCCTGGGCTTGTCTAGTTTTGGGAAAGACCTCAAAGCCGGGTACAATGGTGCACGCCCTTAATCCCAGCACTCGGGAGGCAGAGGCAGGTGGGTCTCTGTGAGTTCCAGGCAGCAGGGGTGTTACACAGAGAAACCCTGTCTGGGGTGAGGGGCAGGGGGGGGAGACCTCAGATGCTGAAGTTTTTTCGAAGTACTTGATAACCTGTAAGCATAAATGCTTAGTATAAGGCACTTCGGAGCTGAGGTTACCTGCAGCACCACCCAACCAGTCCCGTAAGTGGCACAGAAACCTCTGTCACAAAATTACAAATCTCTTAAGGGGTCAACCCCAGGTTCCCAGGAACCACACGCTTTGCCAAGAAGCAGGAGACGGGCTTTGCAGGAGATGCAGGCAACCATGGGAAGGCAAAGAGTGCATGGGCAGAGGCCATCGGGGCCCTTGGGAGCCCAAGGCAGTTAAGCCTAAGACGCCAAAGGGCCCCAGCTGCAAACTCCGCCATCTTGCTTTCACCTCTCACCCCAAGCTTTGGAAGCGGGTTTGAAGCTGCATGGCCAAAGATTGTAGGCTGGGCCAACCAAAGCCCAAGGCTCAAACCAAGGCAGAGGCCACAGCTCCAGCTCAGGCTCCCAGAGGTGCCCCAGCCCCTGTGAAGGCCCCATAGAAAAGGCTTCCTATCTGCCAATGTGAAGACAGATGGACGGATGGGATAGACCTACACCCCAGCTGCAGACGAGCAGTGCCCTGTGCTGTTCGCTACAAATAAAACTGAGACAGAAGCTGTTTTTTAAAAACGCTTAGCACAGAAAATGATGCAAGCATTTAGTGTCTGTTTGGCATTCCAGTCCTGCCCACCTCTCCAGAGTCATCCTCCAGCCTCCTGCGCCTTCAGCTTGTCGGGAGGAGCAAATCCAGGAAACAGACATGGTAAAATGGGAGGTCGGCCAAGTGGCTGGCTGAAGAAGTGATGGAGGAAGGAGGGCCTAGGGAGGTGTTTTAGGAGGTTTGTGGAATCGGGGGAAGGAGCCCTGGCCCAAAGCAACCTCCACAGCAGAACTGTGCACCCACAGTGGCGGCTGGGAGGCAGGAAATTGTCATTGGCCAGCTAACCATGGGAGATGTCCCCAGGATGTCAATGCCCAAGCCAGTGGCAGCACTGATTTAAGCTGCTGCTGGTGGAGGACTGGCCAGTCCTGTTGTACAGAGGCCTTGGAGAGCCTGGACACAGCCAGCCCTGGGCTGCAGTCAGAGCCTCACCCAGATGGATAGTGAAGTCTTTCCTCACCCTTCCCCGGTTCCCCCTGATGGACAGACACCCTGGGTCCCAACCACTACTCACCAGGAATGATGCCCCCGCTCCTCCAGCATATGCCTTCTCACCCATACAAAGGTCAGAAATCATGGTCCAACCAAACATCACACACACACAAAACACATTGCAGCTGAATCAATACTAAAATGCCTTAAACAAATTAAGTTAGTGATGAAGGCCTGCAATCCCAGCACTTAGGTGGTAGGATCAGAGGTCATCCTCTGCCACTTAGGGTTTGGGGTTAGCTTGGGCTACATGGAATGCTATCCTTTTTATTATTTTATTACATTTTATTTGATGTATAGGAAGGTAGTTGGGTGTGTATGTGCTGTTTCTAGTGTGAAGGTCAGAGTTTAAGGCCAACCTCGTCTACAAAGCAAGTTCCAGGATAGCCAGGGCTACACAGAGAAACCCTGTCTTGAAAAAAACAAAAACAACAACAACAACAACAACAAAACATACACACACAAACAAAAACACCAAAAAGGCCATGGTGCACATTATCCTGAGGGTGCTCTGCCAGTCTGGAACAACGAAATAGTCACTCTAGCACTGGGACCAATAATTTACCAATTCCAGATCGCATGAGGAACGTTAGGCAACCCAGTAATCACAAAGCCAGAGAACTTCTGCAGGCCTCGAATGCTGGTGGAATTCTTAGCTCTTTGGTGGGTTGGAAACTAGGAATTTGTACTTTTCAAAGGATTTACCTAGTGGCCACAAAGATGTGATGTCATGTACAGAGGACAACAAATGGCTATTGTGGGGGTCAAAGATGTCCCAAGATAATTTGGCTCTAGACACAGCATTCCAACCTCGGCGCATCATTGAGGTTCTGAAGGCTTAGTCACCCTTGCAGAAGGCGCGCTTCCTTTTAGGAACATTGTTCACAGCTGTGTTGAAAGTTTTTACCCTGATTGCATGATCAGTGCAGTTCCGAGGAATGAGGGTGTCACAGAACGGATCCAGTCAGGGTTGAACCACCCCAGGCGCAGTCAGTCTTGGCCGCTGACCTCATCCAGCCTGAGGTGAGAAGTCCCACAGTGCTTGTACAGTGAGCTCACCCTGTGCAGCGCCCTACTCCACCCAGGGCTTAGCACCCTTCCATGGCCCCTCATGCCGTAGGTCAAGCCGAATCCCATGCCAGCCTCCACTAGGGCTAGCCTCCACTGACAGACAGAGCCTCTTGAAAACACACTCCACTTCCTGGACAAGAATAAACCACACTGAAGCAGGGCGGTGGTGGCGCACGCCTTTAATCCCAGCACTCCGGAGGCAGAGCCAGGCGGATCTCTGTGAGTTCGAGGCCAGCCTGGTCTCCAAAGTGAGTTCCAGGAAAGGC